GGTTCTCCGGGAAGGGCGGGTGTCCGGGCTGACCGGTACCTCTGTGCCCCCGCAGTGAAGTACCTAAACGCCTACACCGGCACCGTGCTGCTGCGCTGCCGCAAGGACTTCTACAGGCTGGTCTGCTCGGCGCTGCCCTTCGTTAGGCACCTGGAGAGCCGGGCCCAGCGCTACCCCTGCTCCCTCAACACCCTGCACGTCGGAGGTCAGCCGGGGCCTGGGGGGAGGCCGTGGTGCCCAGCCGTACCTTCCAGGCCTGCTAGAATGGAAGAACCCCACCTCACTGCTGGGGATGCCATAGACACGGCCTTTGTGCCACTGAGTTGTTTCTAGCAGATCTAAATAAGAAACGGGCACTGGCAGTTCTTTGTTGAAACCCTCATTAATTCTGCTTGAATCTTCATTACATGTAAACAAAACCAGAGCAGCAAATAGTATTATTACATTATTTTCTTTTTAAAATATATTTTCAAAGTATAGTATCATTTACGTCCTCAAAATTAACCACCTGGGGCAAATAACAGGCACTACATGTTAGAAATTGGTATTCCAGCACTTAACCACAACAGTGTGGAAATGAAGTCTACAGTCCCCTCTTAGCACTTGCATTAATAAAGTTGTCACTCGATGCAAAGAAAATATACTAGCAGCTCTGAAAACACTTGGTTTTGTAGATTATTACGTATTGTTCTTGTGACCCCTACAGGTACTATAAGAACATGTCAGAAATTTCTAATTCAATATAATAGAAGACAGCTGCTGATGTTGTTGCAAAACTGTACAAATGAAGGTGAGTTCCTCCAGCCGCTTTCCTAAACGTGGCCTCAGTTCCTGGGGGATTTGTAGGATATACAAATCTACTTCTGAACTCTTGAACTGAGAAACATTCCTTTCTTTAGATGTCGAGGATATTCCAGCATATGTGAAGAGATCAAGTAATGACCCTCTGTTCTTTGTTGCAGAGGAAAGACGGTGTATACAGAAGTCCTTGTTGAGCTGTTCCCTGACAGAAGAGCAGTCTCAAAGTGGAGATGAGGAAGATGATGATGGCATAGAGACAGACTGAATGTTACGAGTGTAACTGTTCAAATGTTACTGTTCAACTCTGTCCTGTACTTGTGTAATCAAGATGTTACCAGTTATCTTCAGCGCTAAGCAAAGCAGGGGACAGAAAAAGCATCTGTACATATTTAGACTTCATTTCCCCCATTTTGAGTGCTCTTAAATATTTTTTTTCTTAAAATAAAAAATACTGTTTTACTTAAGTAGGTTACTTGCCTGTTTCATTCCAGGAGTCAAAACCACCTGCACTCCTAAGGAGTGTAGCAGCTCAATGTGATCTTCATGCTGAGGTAGAAGTGAGCTTTAGGCAGTTGGCATTGACAAGGAATGTAGTTATTCTCATTTGGTACAGAAAAAGCATAAACATCTCACTGTTTTATACCTTATCTTCAATTGCAGCTGATATCCATAGGGCTGTCCATTGTTTTGAGCCACAAAAGCACCAGTTGTGTACACAGGAGCAGAGATTACATGGAATGCAAGGCAGAGCTGTAAGACTCGACTCCATCTAGCCCATTATAAAACTCATAGGTACAAGTACTGCTTAGATATTTATTAAGTTTACACCAATCAGTTACAGGAAAGTAGCGTTGCTGGTATTATCTCTTGAATCCATAGGAAAACAAGATACAACTTGAAGATGCTGTCCTGTGGAGACTGCCCCTGCACAAGGGACAGTCTTCCCTGCCCGCATCACTTCCCTTGTCCTAGTGCCTGTGAGATGTGGAGGGGAGTTACACCAGCTCCAGCTATTCTGTCTCTCTTCCCGATGCAAAGAAAAGTTGACTATAAATGTGTAGAGGTAATAGAACACAACAGATACTGGTTAGACACTAAGTAGTTACTCCTGTTCCATGGCTTAAAATGACTGTTACAAATAGCAAACAGTAGTACTGTGAATGAAGCTAACAACATACTTGAATCAATCTTAGTTGTTTTCTCTACCTTCATCAATAATTTTCCAGTGTGCATGTAAGCATTAACAGCAAGATGTGTTACTACTTTCAGACATCTTTGTCTTAGTTTCTTTGCACTCTCTTGACAAGCTGTACGGTGTTTTCATCAAGTGTAGTTAATTGTGACCAAGCGTGAAGTCAAGCTGCTTTCAAAGAATGTTTTGCAAGTGTTTCCTCTATCCTCCTGTAGCAGTTGAAGTACTCTTTACCTCCTCCCTCTCCCCCTTCTTTCTGGTTTAGAGCCGCATACAGAGCTTTGTGAAGTAGCTCTTTGGTAGCAGCCTCCCATGCGCACACGCTCAAGTGCCTTGAGGAAGCACTTGTATAATATGGAGCCTATCGCTTTGAAATAAAACATCTATGTATTGACATAAACTTTTTACGTAGGGACACAATGGATGACTTGACCAGTGGTGTTAAGAACGAATACCTGACTCCAGGAGCCTCAAACACTCAGCTTCCTCGGAAATAGCAAATCAACATTTTAAAGCCTGTGCAAATGCAGGCGGACCACTGGTGCGAGTGGGGCCAAAGGTAACAGAAGACACCTGTCAGTCTTGTGCTGTAAGGTAGGTGGTACTTTATAGCAGCCCCCTGGCGTGAATTCTGTCAGTCGGAAGGTAAGATTTGAAGCTGTGCAACTAAGTGGTGGTGTGCTCCATGTTCACAGGACAGTTGGGTTATAGCTCAGGAAGTGTGCAGTACTGTAAGTGCGTGTGCACATGATTTATTGCAACTGTTGGCCTTGACTGGTACATTACACCTACAGTTCATTTTATTCAACAAAATCCACACCACTTAACTCATTAGCTCAAATCAAACCACAAACAGTGCAGAATGCGACCACCCAAAGAAAGAGCGGGGAGGGGTCCAGAAGAGGCATGTTTATAGCCCGAGGTGCTTAGTGCAGACCAACTTACATCCCAGAACCACGCAGATACAGGCCCTTAACCCAGTACAAGAGACCCCAGTTTCTTGCTGGGAGATAAAAAGTTATCTACAGACTCCAGCTATCAGTTGTTCTTCCAATTCAGGAGCAGCCAGTGTCAAAACACCGTTCAGGTAGTTACCAAAAGCCCTAGGGTGGAGTGTTTATTCTAGATGATCAGATTACAAAGAATGTGTAGCCCATGGTCGGCCAAAAAAAAATAAAATAAAAGAGAATTAGCAGCCTCACTCACCCACATTATAACAGACTTGAACAACTGAGAGAAGCCAGGAGGTTCCTTCTACCACTAGTGCCAGCACACATTTTAAAATACACAAATTCATCAAGAGTCACTTCAAAACCAAGCAGCCAAGTTCTGCTTTACACTCACCTCAGCTTTAAATCTTTCCAAGCCAGGAGAACAGGAGGAATTCTTGCTCTTTAGAAAAAGAACAGATATAGCAGCTAACACTCTAAAGCCAGGAAGCTTTTTTGCCCGTTTCCAGTGCAGTGGAAACCAGTTCCTCAAGAGAGCAGTTTGACAGCTTTACTGGAACAGCACTACTGTCACAGTCAGATGGACTTCTGCCCATGGATACTTCTAGGGAAATAAAGGCGCTCTGCCTCTTCACTTAGGTAATATTGCAGTATTCTGGCAGTGCCACACAGCTGTAACGACTTTCATACTGCTTATTAGGCCAAAAGAACCAACTCGGCATAGACTAGAAGCCTTGGCTCATTTTTCTCTGGGTTATTTCTTTCAAAACTTTGTTTCAGTATAAACTGATTAAGCAGTTGGAATCAAACCACCTTACTTCAACATATACTGTCATGGTTTCCTCCTGAACCCCCTAGAAGCCCTGGAAACACAAGTTTAGTCTGTTCAAATTTAAATACTTAAAACTATAGCAGCAAAACAAAGCAAAATTAAAAGAAAACCAGGAGAGGAAACTTCTCTTGAATAGCAGAATCACTTTGTGTGAACAACAGAGGTGCTGAACAGTAGCTTCTGCTTCTGTTTCTTTCTTTTCTTGCCTCCCTTTTCCTCTGTGAAGGATTAAAATGATACTGTCATTCTTCTCACGGAACAGGAATGTCACACAAATGATAAAGGGTCTTCCCTAGCCTAAATGACTTCTACAGGTCCGTGATACTTCCTATCAACTCGCTGAGCACCAGGTAGTTTAATTTTAACAAAAAAATGACTGCAGACAAACTAAGGGAGACTCCATCACACCTAAAACACACCTATAAACATGCCTAACTGATTCTAAAGTTGCTGTTGCAACAGAAGATCTCAGGACTGCAAACATGCAGCAGTTTCCCTTTCAGACAGGTATTGCTTTCATCCATGCCCAAAAAACCACAGCTGGAACTGACACTCAATTTCACTGAAACTCCCAGGCCCTCCCATCCAACTCTTAATGCAGTCTCCAAACAAGCCAGAGCTAAACAACACAACTGAGCATTATAAATTAGTTTTATCAGCCAGCACCAGGGTTAGAGGTTTACGTTCATCTCAGCTTGCTTCAGACTCCCTAATTTGAAATCTCAGCTAGCAGCTACCTTGACATTTTGGTCAAACTTAAGTGGTAGCTCAGCAGCTCTGATACTTTTATTTTAAAAGCACATAACCTGAACTTCCTTGGGAGAAAGCTTAAATTCAGTTCCAGCAGAGACACGGCAAATGTGATTGTCAAAAGCCATCTTTGTCCTAACAGGACCCTTTGCTAGTTGGAGATCTCAGCTCCCACTAGGAGAGCTGCTTTAAGCTAACAGAAGCCCTCGTCAAGCTGTTCAGAAACCACAACCTGAGAATTTTCAGAACTGTTCTGTGGCCAATATCTGGTCCCCAAAATGCTGCTATCCCTTCTCCCAGAGGAAGAAGGGGAAATATTCAATTTTTTCACTTCTGAAGTTTTTCATGCCTTCAACCCCGCCTTTTACCTGATAAATGATCAGCTGTGGACGGTTTGTCCAGTTTCAGGAGGGCTGCCTCAATGGCTTGGCTGAAGGAATTCTGGAAGCTGGGCACAGGTATGCGGTCAGAGCTGTCACTTTCTCCATCACTATCCACTGGCACAGGGAGCGCCAGAGTGTTCTCATCTGAAAGAAGGAAAGGGCTTTGAGAGGCAGAAAGCTTTATAAAGCTCTCACAGTGCATGGGCCCCTCCACGCTTCAGATATTTCTTGCGAAGTTACAAGATTTCTTAGATATAGATGCATGATAAAGAACCTGAAGTAGCACTACCAAATTTTCTTACCTCTTGTCTTTGGAGCAGGTTTGGGCCATGTTTCTGGTTTTGCCTTTCCAACTCTCAACATCTATCAAAGAAGTTGTAAGATATGATTAAATCCCACATACTACAACAATCCCGCACACCCCCTAAGCAGCGAGAGAATCTGGGAACCCCTTCAAGCACTCCAACCCCACGATGTCTCCATAAGATCTATCCCACATTGTTTTCGTGGGGGAAGCAATTGTGTTCTCACACTAATCCTCAACTAAGACACAAGCAATTCTGACAAGATTTACTCTGCTACATGGCTTACCTGGGCAAAGGAAGGGAAAGGAGATTCTTCTTCTAAACTCCCACAGAGCAACGGGCTGACCTGGCTGGCAGCAGGTGACAGTGGAGTTGGAACAGACTCTACAGAGAAAGCAGCAGATAATTAAAGCCAGTTGCATTTGGCAAAGGCACTCATTACGCTGCTTATCAGAATGAAACAGAAATAAAGTTTTATTATCTTATGTAATTAACCATTTTTATCTCATTAATTCCATCCATTAGTCACACAGTGGGACCTCTCAAATTTCCTCAATCTTTTTATTTAAAGGAGATTTGAGTTTGGGTTATTTTTCTTTCCTTTTGGTGTGTGTGTGTCTATGTCTGCTTATTTTGGTGTTGTGTGGGGTTTTTTGGTTTGGGTTTTTTTTGCAGGGGGGGTTGTTAGGGCTTTTTTTTTGGAAAAAAAAAAACATTTAAGAATAGTTCCTATTTAATATTTTTTATGAACTGCAAGATAAAACATTTGGTAAAGAATCGCTAGACAATGACCTAACTGAGTGTTCATCAACTACGTTTGATTTTAATATAACGTGGTGGGGAAGATGGAGAGGGTAGAAAGAAAAAATGCCAGTAGTGTTTTCCTGGCATACACACTTTTCCCCCTCTTTTGGGGAATTTCTTTTCTTCTGCCTCAGCAAAGATTTAAAAGATGGAGTAACTACAGTGCAGATCTCATATTGTCACTGAAGTAGAGGTAGTAAAAAGCAGACAAAGGACCAGAATGTTTCTTAGCCGTGTCAGCCTTTTGTGTTCAATCCCATAGGCAATCCAGGAAAGAAGCAGACTTTGATCAGTATTAAGCAAGTTCAGCGTGATGACCTGAGCAATAGATCCCAAAAGAATGATCAAGAACTAGATGTGATGGGTTTTTCCAGATGCTCACCTGTCTGAAACACAGGGCTTCTGCCAAGAGGAGACAGACAGAAGCTCTGATGATCAGTGCTGGTAGTTTCTCCAGGGCAAGAGGTAAAAGCAGGGAACTGCTGCAGATTCTCTAAAGCAATATGGACCTCTGGATCTAGGAAGAGGTTTTAAATTAAAGCACTACACAATGTGGGGGAGGACTGTCAATACGCAAGTTGCTTCAGGAGTCTAGGAGGTGCCAACTCAATTTTCTTTCCACCCTCTATTTTAGAGACCAGTACAAGCCCTGCTGCTGGATGGAAGCAGTTCCTAGGGTGTTTTTTTTTTCCCCTCTTCACTTTTCACTCTATATCCTGATTACTATAAAAACTGAAACTAAGAATCCTGAGAGCTATATACACCATGGAGATAGCTGTGCCCTCAAATGCCCTCTGTCTCTCCCATAATGGGCAAGTATGCAGGAATTGCATAACATCATTTAACATCCTGACTAAAACAGCTTATTTTTTTTTTGCTTTACAGACGTCGTTTCTAATGCCTTGTAATCTTGTTCTAAGTACACGCTACAAACTAAAGGCCTTAGAGCTCAAGAAATCAGCTCAGCAACTAAAGATGACTGGAAATCCACCAGTTATGCTCAATCACTACTTACATTTGCCCTGTTTCTTGTTTTCTTCTATCTCAATTCTGCGTTCACGTCGTCGTTCATCACGAGCTTTCTTCTGCCGTAGACGTTTCCTCTTTTCAAGGTCATCTAGGAGCAAAGCACAACATTGGATATCAAAAAACCCAAACCAATATTTCAGCAATGTTTTTCTCCAGCTTTGAGAACAACACATTCAGTTATAACACATTAGTAACAAAATGTGCTTACAAACAACATATGCTCTTCCAAGCAGTCAGGCTTTTTTATTCGTTGTATAATTATTGTTTATAAAACAGTGAATTGGGGTTGTTCTGTCTAGTAGCCATCAGACAGTTGGTGCAAGAGGAATAAAGCTGCTCTGTATGTTCTTTTTTTCTGCCATTGAGAGATAAGAACAACTTCCCCTTCACCCTCACGGATACATGACAGAGCATACTAGAAGGGTAGTACCAACCTGAAAACAACTCTAAAGTCTCCTTAGAGATGATGGGTGGCTTCAGAGCCAGCTCACAAATGCTGAACTCGCAGGTGAGGGGCAAGTGACAGAGGTAGCGATGACGCTGTCTTATATCCTGATTAAAAAAGAGCAGATATCTTATCACAACAAGGTCTAGAGGCTGCCATAGTGATGAATAGCTTATGGAGACTGAACACTCACCATTCGTTAAATCAAATGGAAAAAAAATAGTAGCAATGACACAATAATAACACTTTATAAACTATAAACACGTGAAGGATGCCCTGGGTCAGAAGCAAACGCTCCAAGATCTCCAGCTACTACACCAAAATCAGATTTGGATGCAGTTACTCCAGCTTGCTCACTGATTTTCTGGTTATTTCTCCCTTCTCACTCACATCACTGGAATAATTCTACAATATCAGTATTCTGACACAATTATTTTTGCACTGGACCGAATTTGACTTCTACACTTAAATTATTTGCACCAACAACCACCACTTTGGTAGACTGAAACAAGCTGAGTTTTGTGTTTTTCCTCACAGAGATGAAAAACTTGAAGACAATTCCCTACTACCTCCACATAGGTTCTTACTTGAGCGTATCCTTCCTTAAAGATGAATTAAGAATTATGTATAGTTGTTACTGCACATGCCAATTCTTACAGTTGTCTTTATCCGAGGTAAAGGAATCCAAGACCCATCCCCTCGTCCAGAACTTCAGTGCCTTAAACACTTTCATTCCCTCTATCTCAAACACTGAAGTTTCTTTCCATCTTTATTTTCCATAATGTCCCACCTCTTGATACTCAGAAACAATTGTTTGTTCAAGACAGAGGCAGAACACTTTTTCAGGTTGAGAAAGATGATAATCTGTCTCGTTCAAGCTACTGTCTTATATGAGAAAAAAATTTCCTTTTTTTAAGACAGCTTTAACAACAAACCAATCTTAAACTTGCAATTCTCTTACTCCTAGAATTTCCTACCTTCTAGAAAAAAAAAAAAGCTAGACTGCAGTCTACTTATCAAAAGCTACCTAAGGTACTACACCTTACAGAGATGCCCTCACGGATCAGCACGCCGACCCATTAATAGTTATTATTTCTTATTACTGAAGAGAAACAAATCTCATCTGTCAGGTACAATGATTAATCTGCTAAAACAAGGGCCCTTAATTAATAAGAAGATAAAATAACTACCTCTGTCATTGAGTAGCCAGTTATCTCCACTACAGCTGCAGTTATCTTCTCTGGACTCTTCTCCAAGCTGCCGTATTCACGAACAAGACATCGAACATTCACAGGGTGAAGGTACATACACTGTCCATCCTCCGCTATAAGATAAGATATCATCACTTGTTCTTTGCCTGTTAATTTTCAATACCCTTCTCCCCACCACAGTGCACTCTCGAGTAACAAAATTAAAGCTCCTTTCTCAGGAGCTCCATTTCACAGGGGTTAGCTGCATCTAACAAGCTGACAAACATCCTCCTCAAGAAGGATCTCAAAGAGGGCAACTCTGTCCCCATGATTCTAGGGTCTCATTGCACTGACCTTGATAAAAATAGTAAAAAGGAGAGCTGCTAAGATGTCCACTGCTAATTGTATCTTTAGATTCTTGGTAGCTTGTTTCAGCTGGATTTGGTTCTTCTGTAGTGTTCATATCAGGTTCTCCTATGATGTCCACCTCAGGTACCTCCTCTTCATCCAGCACTGCCTCTTCTGCTTCCACAGGCGGCGAAGAAGAACTTGCCAGATCAGAGCAAGGCTCCACAAGCTCCTCATCAAATGCAGAGAGATATTCAACACCACACTATCACAGCAGAGCATACAGTTAGTACCACATCACCACCTTCAAAAGATTATCATCTCTGCAAAAATCTTTGGCACCAGTTCACCATAAACTGCAGTGTTAAGTGGCAGTATTAACAGGATCTGCCAGAGCAGAGTTGTCACCCACCTTTTTCTCTTGGGAAACTGCAGGCTCCACAGCCTTGGAGCTTTCTAGGACCAATTCTTCCACAGCTGCACTGACTCTAGCAATGCCATTGTTTTTGTCCTGGTCAGCAGAGAGTGCTGTTTCTCGCTCCTGCAGGTCATCCAAAGAGAACAAGTTTCAATTTCCTATTTAAGCCAGGAGACCATCGCCATAGTTATTTTTAGCCTTGTCCTTTCAGGTTTTCATAAATCTGTAATACATCTGTAGACAAAGAGTGACCCTTGAAGAGAGGTCCTCTCCTTCTTGTCACTAGAAAGCACACCCACTGGAGGATGCCCGAAGACTTTGAAAAGGAATGAATATTCTACAGATCTCCTCATGTCTGCCCAAAAGAAGTTATCCCAGAAATTGCTGGAGCTAAAAGTGAAACACATCTTCCTTTGAAAGCAGAACTCCTTTACGTTTATGGAAGGAATACCATTCAGTAAAAAGCATTCTGTTCTGTTATCTTGAGCATCATGCCAGACACCAGGGGTCCAAAGGCAACAGTCTCCTCCAAGACTTATAATGCTATTCTAGCAGCAAACATCACCACTTTGCTAGTATTTACATCATGGAGACCAGAATAATCACACACAACCACTTAGGCAGCAGAACATAGATGCTCATCACTCAGCATACTCTTAAAAGTAAAGATTTTTGAAGGTTCTCACCTTCAGTTCCTGGATAGCCGCCTCAATAAAGCAAGCCTCTGGGGTGTGTTTTTCTTCCTCATACTGTTTCAGTAATGCCGCTTTCTCCTCCAGAATCACCAGCTGCAAGACCTGCTCTCTGGATGCCAGAAGCAGCTTTGAATACTGACTGTGCTGGTCATCTGAACAGAAGGAGCACCAAATCATTAATATCCACATGTTTGGACTGCTGTTTCTTCTGAAGTTTTGTTACTGCTCAATTTTGTGAGTTATTCCACCTCAGAGTGGACAATACTTAACCAGAGTTTGATACAGACTCTGCATATTACCATTATATCATTGATGACACCAGCTGGTACCACATACCTGCTCTGCTACACACATCTCCCCCACACAGCAGTTCATCTGGCACTTTCAACCCACCACTTCACCATTCAGTTGCTACACATCAAAAAAATCAAGTCTAAATTTCTATGCTGTGGAAACACCAGCTTTGAGATGGCTTGGGTGGTCAAAACTTCCTCAAACAATGCAGTCTGCTGCTTCTTCCTCTTCTCTATATACTCAAAAATACTGCAACTGGAAAGTTCTGCAAAAGTGACCTCTGTTTTGGCTCAAACTAGTTCATAAACCCAGAATTATTCAAAATCCATACAAAATATTATTGTGAGGTTTTTTACAAGCAGCACAACAGAAATAGTAAACTAAAGAAATACAAGTTTAGCAAAAGGCAGTCGTCTTTGTTACGAGAGAGCTTACATTAGCTATAAAGCTTACAGCAACCATAGCATCACACACTAGTATAGTCCCTACATTACTGCTCCCCAAGGGTCCAACCTTTAGAACGATCTCGAATCCCATATTTGTTGTTTGTTTTACAAAAGGATTTAAAGTCCTTTACTTTCAAATTCTGAGGAACACATAAGCACATACCCTGCCTGCTGGATACCCATCATGCGTGAGGAGACTTGACTTTTTACAGAGCGCTTAAATGCACGCAGCCTTTCACAAGTGTGACTGCAAAATGAAGTGAGCCAAGACAGCCCACAAAACAGCAATGTTAAGTAAAATTATTTCTTTAGTCACAAAATTTTTGTGATACTAACAGATAAGATGATGATATGTTAGTCACATTACTTGACTGGAGAGAACTGAAGAAGTCAGGCAACAGATGTTTGGAATAGGTTTGCAATAATTTTGATTATTTTCCCATATCATTCTCAGATTTTAGTTGATAAGTGAAGATGATGAAAACCTTGTTGAAGATTACATCCTTGAAACAGTTTAGGCACAGAGACAGTTATTTTTGCTAAGCTGTATAATGAGGAGCCAGGAGGAGAAAAAGTTAAGGACACTGAAGAGCCAACAAAAGCAGTAAGAGTGACACCAATGACTGTACGACAAAATACACATCAAATTAATACCGATGATTGAGAAGGCAGGAGTCTGCAGTGCAGTACCTCGAAGGGAAACAGCACACAAGTTAAAGCCTTACAAAAAACAAAGTGTGGGTAGAAAACATTATTAATATGTAGTCATTAAGGTTTTCAGCTGCTAAAACCCATGTTTTGCAGTCTGGTCTATTTTAAGGTGACAGCATGGCATTGCCATGGTAAATCCTCTCCACACAAGTCCTCGTCACAGTTAGGAGCACGATGCCAACCAGCAGTACTCGCATAAACTCACCTCTGATGTAAACAGGCTGCACCACATTCATCCACTGAGATTTGGGCAGTGCTACCAGAACACCTTTCTCTCTTCTCATAAGTTGCATCGTAATGGTATCACCAATTGCATATTGACGTGTTGCCATAGCAACAACACTGCAATGTAAGGAGGAGGTTAGTAGGGTAAAAATAACATTTCAAAAAGATACATCACTTAATAAATATCAAGTCTCACCTCTTGAGGTCCTTCTTGTGAACAGAGCCATAACAAATAGGACATTTGCTCCAGGTCTTTTCACTCAAAGAGAGATAGTGAAGGATACATGCCCAACAAAAGATATGCCCACAGCGGGTGATCTTTGCTGCAGTTGGTGGGTACAGACATATTGGGCAAGAGGGCACTTCATGGCTACAAATTCGCTGAAATGGCACAGGAGAAGAATGGTACAAGTTTTAGACCTAGAAATCAGTTCCTGTGCTACAGAACAAGCCACCTGTAAGATCTACTCTAATATATTAATATTCCAGCTCTTTAGGCTCTGTTTATTTACCAAGAAATTAAGTACTCTGTAAATGAATAACAACTTCAGACTGCACATGGAATAACCTTCAAAGCCACCCATCTGGTATTTCTAATCTAATGACATTAAAAAAGTGACTCTTCCCATGTTTCCTCTCATGTATCCATCATCTGTAAGAGTTAGTAGCATCTTCATCATCCGAACTCAGATGCCAAGAAGACAGCAAATGAGCTCTGCCACCTCACTGACACAAGCAGACTTGTGCAGCCCTTTTTTAACTGCGAGACTGAACTTACCAATTTCCATGAACATGCTAGTTTAGTCAGACACTTTATTAGCATCTGTATGTTGCAGAGACATAACTGCCTAGCAAGCACCTAGATTTTTTCAGCTCTCTTGTAGCATCAGGTAAGAGTAAGCTTACCTCCTCTCCAGGTACACCATACTCCAAGACTACTCTTGGCAGATAAAAAGTTTCTACTTGAGGCAAGCCAAAGTTCTGACCACAATTCTCAAGAGATTTTCCACTTTGTTGCTAGGCAAGATAGGCCACCTATGCACAGAATAATTCTTCAAAATTCTACACTCTAGTCCTCTTCCATGGACTCATGCCCAAGTTTTCTGTTAATATCTCGATCACAAGGACTCTGTCTACAGAATGTCAGATACTATTTTTGATGAGCTCCCATCTGCGAAAGCAAGAAGAAGCTGCTAATTTTCCTAATAGATTTTAGCACTTCTCTTTTCCTGTCATGAAAGTATTTCATAATATATTCCATGACAGATCTTTCCCAGTATTGTGGGAGTGACAGAAGAGGCCTCAACTGAAAAACAGCTGAGTTTTACGTAACATCACAGAGATAAAGAGGCAGTTAAAGACAGGTTGAGCTCCTTAAAAAGAAGAAAAAAAAAAAATCTAGCCCATCACAACTGACCACTTGTTCCACAAAGTCCCAGTTGACCAAGGTATCTGGATCAGCAAAGTGGACTGTGTAGTCCTGTTCTTCAGAGACAACAAACTGGCAGCTGGGGAAAGGCAAAGAGACAGATGATCCACTCAGTTGTTTCTAAAAATTCTTTAAGAACTACCCTATAGGATTCTCTGAGCTGCTTCTTTGTCCAGCAGAAAACTGCTGGATGCAGTCAGTAAATTCTACCAACAAAAACCAAGAGAGTTCAATTCACAACCTGATTTCCAGAATACAGGTGTGTGTAATTTCAGTTAGACACATCACATACTAACTACAGAATGAGCCAGTCAGAGTGGTTTTCCAGAAAAACATAAGAAACAGCCAGCTCCATCAGGGATCTATTAAAAAACAGGGAATCCACAAGTGGAAGAAATATGCTCACAAAAACTAGAACTACTGGGGTACCTGCGAATAGACTTCACTACAATAAGCCACAAAACAATAGGGAAAAATCAGAAGCATCAACGCTGAAAATAGTTTTTGTTATCTTTAACATGATCAGACACAGGAAGTCCTGAATACCCTTCAAATTCTGGTGAAAGTGACCATTATTTCCAGTCAAAAGCAATTCTGCTGCTGGATTACTATACTGGTCATCATTTGGGTTATACTACATACCTAGTGGTCTGTGAAATAATCAGCAGTTTAAGAACTAAGACCCACATGAGTAATTGCTCCTGGGACTTGTAAATTCAAATTAGCTTTCATCCAGCAACTGTTACCCCTACCATCTCAACATTCTATTTTTTGGAAAAAAACAATCGTCTTCTGTAAGAGAACTACACAGGGCTTCCTAAATGGATTGTCATGTTCCACAAGCAGTGCTAGAACATCAGAGCAGAAGACTAACTGGTTTGTATCTAAAGGACTCAGTCCATCAGATCACCTGTAAACAGGTAAAGTTGACATGTTTGTTGACGTATTTTTTATCTCTTTCAAGTACAGTCATTACCACTAAAAACACTACAGAGAGGTAACTTCACCCTGAAAGTCAATACAAGTAGTCAAGGTCAAACACAACTCCCTGGCTGATCATCCCTTACAGCTCAGTGTCTCTGTAGAAGTCTACGAGCCCTGCCAGTCTTCCACTCACTTGGCCTGTAGGAAGAGCTCCTTGTTGAAAGGCTTATGTCCCCACTTGTTCCTTTTCCCCCAGTTGCCATGTCCATTCCCATCAAAATGGCCTGGTTGGCCACGGGGTTCAAAAGTGAAGTTCAGTAAGTGGTTCAGATTAATCTTCTTGGGACCAGAGAATTGGGCAGGGCTGAACTCTGCCCGCTGAGCCTCTGCTACCTAAGAGACAACAGCATTTGTTAGAACTTGCTACAGTTTACTGCAAAAGCATCAGTAAGTTGACACCAAGGCCCCATCAGTGATTACGTACAAAATACGCAGCATCCACTCACTCACCTTCTCCCATTCCAGTTCTGCAAATCAAGTAGTGCAGCGTTAGAAGCGCATGAAAACCTGAAAGTTAGAACTGAGTGGCCTTAACCCACACTGATCAAAAGGAGGAGAGCATAACAACCACCGACATAAGGACAAGTAAAAGCTGGCAAAACCTAGCAGTCCAGGTTAACAACAGAAGAAAGATGTTCAAATCCTGACAATATTCTTTTAGATGAAAAGTAAACAAGTCTGATTACTATTTGCACAGATTGTACTTCTTTTGGTTAGTTTTTATATAATGAAATAAAGAATGAGATAATTCAACTGACACAGCAGGGGAGTTCTGACAGTCAGCAATTTAGGTGAGCGGCGTTGCTCACCCGCTATAACTGAAAAAATAAGACTATCGACGAAAACCCACATATAGTCTACAGCATTTAGACCCACATCAGCATAAAAGCCTGGGTCTGGTTTTACTCCATCTTGATGTCACCAAGGCCAATACAATTATTTTCCCAATGCAATACATGCAGACTTGTACACTGAAGTGGTTTGACACAATCACCTCAGACTTAAAAGCTAAAAACTATATCACTAGATATTTTCATGAAGGACCTCTGTTTCACGAGATATGTACATGGCCTGTCTAGGTACCCATTCCTCAGGACGTATTTTTTTATTGCAAGTCTCTCAGAGCAGAGAACACTCCTCTTCTGTTGTTGCCAAGTTGCTCTGCTCACGCTCACTCTGGCATCTCAACGATGTTTGCACCTCTTATTGCTCTTTCCCGTCCCAGCCCAGGAGCTGAACACAGAAGACCTATCTAGGCAGGTCAGAGTGATCCTCTCGTCCCAAGAAAGAAGGCCTTGGAGGCATGACATTACAATTCTCACCTCATCTCGTCTTCCACCATTACAAGAGCTAAAAAGTTTGCCACTTCCGCCGCTACCTCCCCTTTGAGGGGGCATCTTGTTAAAAGCTTTGCTTTTCTGTGAATTGGAGCGACGGGACTGACTGGAAAAGTTCTCATTTTTTGAATATGAAGTTTCTCTTTTACGATTATAGCGCTGTTTGGATCCACTCGCATTCTTTCCATCTGAAAGAAAAAAAAAAAACCACACCAAGAATCAGATCAGCAGCCTTAGGGCTGTCCACACGCACCGCAGCTCAGCTAGCTTCACGTCAGAGACATGCCCACCCCGGCCACTGCCTTGGGCCCTGGCTAAAAGGCTGGTGTTCATCAGGGCATCAAACCCCCACAGCAACCGAAACTGCTTCACACCTATCACTGCCCAAACGCTATAAAAGGATGCATTTGCTGTGCTTTATCTTTTATTAGAATGGTTGAATTTTCTTTATCCAGATTTGGAATCACCATCACCAGACTTAGCGTGTTACCTGGTACATTGAGTGATAAACACCAACACCATACCTTTGTGCCCCATTACAAAAATTGGTAACAACCAGTTCATTTTTTTTTCATTCAATTTTATGAAAACACACGATTTATCACATCGTTCCCTTATATAAATATACTGCTCCCTGCCTTTGTCTTGAAGTCTCCCACTTTGCAAGACCCCATTGCCTGTTTTCACTCCATTCTGCCCCCTACGCTTCAAAGACCCCAACAGACCTAATTCTGTTTTAAAAATAGCCTTTTCTTTCACAAGGCCAACAAATGCTAATCGATCTTTAAGCCCAAACCCAATGCAGGCCTTGCAGGGCACGTACCTAATATCTAAGTACTAAGTCCACCAACCTATGCAACAAGAACTGTTTGCTCAAAAGCATGCTGAACACACCACTGACCCTAACGCAGGACACAGCGGTGAAGCACAAAACAAAATACGGCAGGAATAAAGCTCACATAAGCAGAAAAATCAGTCAGGCTCCTGAAAGGGGTTTCCTGTGTCTAAACAGCTGCTTCACCAGACTGCTAGAACAGAAAATTAATACTATGAAGGTATTTCTAATAGTCTTAACACAGGACCAGAGTTGCCCCAAGGACACAGCAGATTGCTTACCTGTCACTTAACCTAGTTTTTCCACTAACTGCCCCAAGTTTTATTTGTAGAAGAGGTATGTTGATAATCTTGGAAGCAAAACTCCACAGGCCCAGCAAGACGTCTACCCACAGCAGCCAGCCCCAAAGTCACTCTGGATACTTAGTAAGTGTTACACAAACAGTAACGCCTCATACAATATCTAGATTCCTTTTTATTAAAGCCTACCAGTTTGCCTTTTCGCACTTGGTAATCCTCCCCACCCCTTAATATAAATCTTACCTGGCAGGCAAACACACCACTGTGATTCAGAATCACGTTATCCATATGGGTAGTTTTCATTACCAGTGCCTCCAGCTTTCCCCTTCCCCAGCACCACTTCCAATCTACCTGAGCATTTAGAACAGCTGGAATTGGATCATCCACACAAAGTCTCACTTTTTTGTTATATTTAGTTTTCTCTCCCCGCTTCGCCCCCAGAAAGAGGGGGCCAGTAGACTGGAAGTTCTGTGTGTTATTGTACACTACTGAGGATCCGACTTCTTAAAAATAAGTAATCAAAGTGGTTTGACTGGGTTTTGTGGTGGTCTGCTATTTCTTGCACATGGCGGACTTCAGTCTTTGCCTGCAACTACAGCTATAGAAGTAAAAAGACTTTATCATTACTTTCACATGATGTGACAAGAGACATTTTGCAGACAAACTTTGTCACCAGAACCGGTCATTTACTCTGCTATTCAAACGGCTGATCCTTTAATTCAGAATTAAACCAACTCCATCAGAACCCCAGATGTGTAACTCAAACACACGCCTGCACAGCTTGCAGCGCTACAATACATGTCAGGCTAAAGACATGGGTTGAGGGTTATCAGGAAAAAAACACACCAGAAGCTGCCAAGTACTGAGGGTGTGACCAGGTCTGGCTGAATGATTACTTAGATAGACCTTTTTTGAGAGTGTTTATAGAGAAGAGGCTCTAATCAACACCACTGAGTCGCTAGTAAAAAATTAAGTATTTTGAAGAGGTCTGGACTACTACTTCAGTTATTCAAGAGCAGAGCTTGTCAGTTCAGAGCTCAGCCACCCTCTTAAATCTGCAATTTCAGTGAACACGCTAGAGAAGCACGTGCCTATTGTGTCTACAGCGACTTTGCAGTTTCTCTGCAATCACCAACTGGAGAAACCAAACAACTCAAGAGGAGAAGTTCAGCCTAAAGTGGGTCTTTACAGGGCCCAAGAACAGCTTGTACCTGCAGCTGACACAAGAATTTCCTACCACTTAGAGTTTTAATCAAGTGAGTCACCATCCAATTTGTCAGTCAGCTGGGTTACACACATTCCTGTGATACTACAGGTCCTTTCAGACCAACTCCAAGAGCCTTTGGGAGTCCCTCTAATGACTCTCACATTCTGTAGAAAAGTCCTCTCCCCACCTGTGCCTTTTTTAGGAAGGACCATACATGACAATCTAACCTTCAAACCTGATTTTACTGATTGCAAGTTTCTCCTCCCAGAATAATTACCCTCATGAGGATTCTGGTCCATCAGAGTAGTTTTGAAATCAGTCAGCAGACAACCAGGAGTTTGGAGTATGCATTTGTGAACCGGAACAGCTTTCCCCCACCCCAAATCTAAGCAACGCCATTCCTTCCAACCTTGCCAGCAGGCCACACGTCACGGAGCGCTCTGCTTTGTATCATCCCTCCTTGCATTCCCATGAAGAGCGGGGCAGGAGAGGGCTATCTGCACTCATGCAGGGAGAAAAGTGGAAGATTGCCACTGCCATCCTCTCTTATTAGATCCATTTTAAGTAGCATAGGTTTGGATTTGGGAGTTTCTTTCCTCCCTCTTTTCTTGGCAAATTAGGAATGAGCAACAGCTCTGGTGAGGTACTTACTCTTCGCTCAGCTCCTCAGTTAGTCCTTTTGCCAGTCTCACAAGGTCTAACCTATAATAAATATATCTACCCATCCACACTTCAAGAGAACACAGACTTATAAAAAAAAAATACTGTCTATATAATTTCATAAAACTAGCAACCAAGCCACTCTTCCTTCTGAAGCAAGTCTTGCCATCTGTGGTTTCTCCTGCTGGATGCCGCATTCTGTCAGAGGACCTCTATCTCCAAAGATCCAAAGAGAGGAGATGAAGTTCGCAGGACTAAAAGCAGCTCTAGGTGACCACTTCAGTCCTGGAGCTGCAGTAGTTTGCTATTGGGGTGAGGACTGCAGTTTCCTTCCAGCTTTGTTTGGCTCTTCTTTTCGCCTGAGCAGTGTTGAAGCCAACCGTATTGCGTAAGGGGTTTGGGTGGTGGATCACACTAAGCCCCAGGGTGATTTCATGAAAACACACTGAAGCTACTGCTGCTGCTAAGGCAAACATCCCAGTGAGCAAGAGGTGACGGAGCAGTCACCCACCCCAGCTAAGCATGCTCACACTGTAATAAGGCCCAGTTTGAGAGAACCAATGTTGTCCATCAGGTCTCCTGGACTGCAGAGAAACCCAACAAGCCTATTTTCCCTTAGCTACTTTATTCCATCCTGATGGGACGTGACTCCTGTTGGTGCACTAATATAACCTATAGAAACCCTTCCATTGGAAACGTTAATTTAGTTTCTAAGGCCAAGTTTGAAGGATAGCTGGAACCCAACTTCCACAAGCACAAGAGCTTACAGTACCCTATTTAGCCCATTTCAAGCTGTGCTGCAAGAGAAACGGAAGGAGAAGCTACCGCAAGGTTTCACGAACGTCCACTTCTTCATTTCTTCCTCTGGACTTGATCACAGCAGGTAACTCCGAAATGCGTCTAAATGGTGAGAGCCTGACTAGACTCAAAGCCAGTGACCATCAGTGCAAAAGTCACTTATGCAACAAAAGGTCAGCGTTTTGGGGAGGGTCTGTGGTCCATCAAGAATATTTTCCATTTCAAAGGAGACACAATATTTTCAGAATACCTCCTATACCTCTCCTAAAACAGGAGAGAAATTGGGTGGACCACATCAGCTACACATAGAATGATTAGGAAATCAAGAAAAAAATCCCATATGGTGACATGCCAGTGTCTCGCATGCAACGGCTACCAAAACATAGCCACAATTCAACAGAGCTGCATCCTCTATGCTTGTCTTGTGGTTGTTTGTCTGAATCTGACCAAGGGAATCTTCTCATTTTAGTTGTCGGTACCCTCCAGTTAAGATATTCCCAAATACATATCTGCTCCTAAAGAGATTAAAGGGATTCCAATTTTTCCAGGCCTCTTCCATGCACCATAAAGGAAGCAACTCATTCCACATCCCTTTACCCTTGTTAAGAAACAAGCATCTTAGAAGCAGAATTACGTTGAGACAAAATTATCCTCTGTTTTATTAAAAAAGAAGTCTTCAAAGAAGTTGGGGTTTTTTTTAATTAAAAGATAGCCTATTATATAGGAGTAGAAGAGTATGGTACATGAGGATTTCTCTCCTCACTGCTCCTCTGTTACTAGTGACATTGTTTCAAGCTAGTCAAAAGTGGCATTCCACAAAAATCACTTACTGCTTTTATTTTGGGCTGGAATGACAGGCCTTTTATTTTCTTCCTCACTACAGATACTATTTCTTCCACTTAAAGGCCACAGGACAGGACAGGCCATCTTAACTCCTTACTGAAAGATGTTTATATTCTGCGAACAATCCTCCGTACCGCATCACACATCACTAAAACAAGCAGCTGCAGTGATGAGGTGTCTCTTTGGCGAGAGAGGGACAGAAACCAGTTCTCCACAACAGGAAAACCTCGTGTCTGCTCGCCTTTCACACTGCCTCTCGCAACACATGCGGAGAAGTTTATACCCTTTGTTATTCCATCACAAGCCAAAGATCTGGTTCTTAAACTCTTGTTGCATACCTAGCACATGACATCCCCTGCTTCCATTTGTCTGTTCACTAGATGGAAAAAAAAAAAAAAGAGACTGAAAAATAACAAGAGTAGCTAGGGATAATAAGACCCTTGCATCAAATCCTGTCGCCGATGCAAAAAACTTCGCAAATCAGTTAGGAGTTCTTCCAGAAACGACTGCCAAAAAAGTTCTTCCTAAAAAGACTTTCATGTGT